CCCATTCTCTTCCTATACCTCTCCTATACTTTCACTTACTCTCTACCTATACTTCTTCTATACCTCCACCCATGTATCTCCTATACCTTCTAAAAATCCAGAATCCAAAATCGGCAAACACTCTGTAACTTTCACATCGTAACTCGTAAAGGGCTGAAAATTGGTATACTCATTCTAGGGACAAAAAAAGGGATACGTATTTTTTGTGCTTATTTTGCAGATAATTTTTTTGACTTGGTGTAATTTTTGCAAAGTTTGGAGTCGATAAATGTTGCCAACGAAAGTAGCAAAGTGCTGAAACTTGGTGTGGACATTCTAAGGACGAAAAAGAGGGATACGTGTCTTTGCGTTTCTCTCCTAATCTATTTTCCTATTTTGCGTATTTTTTGCAATCTCCAGAATTGATGACTACTCTATAACTTTGAAATCAGCAATCGCAATGTCTTGAAAATTTGGTATGGCTATTCGCAGGACGAGACATAATACTCCTATGTTTAGTTTTCGATTCATTTTAAATTTAATACATCAGTACCACCACCCACTCTCCCGACTCTTTCTCATTTTAATAATCTGTTTCCCTCAGGACTGCCTATAATATAAAATTCATTGCATGATGTTTTGGACACCATGTACCAGTTTTCATCCGGCTGAACGCGTATCCCGAAACAATTGTCGATCGCGCGTTGCGCGTGTAGCTGCTGATCCAGTCTGACACCCCCCTGCCCATATCGGTAGTTTATCAACGAATCATAATGACGCTCGCTCGGACTGTGAAACAATTGCTAAGCGCGGAATTTCTGGGAAGCTATTGCAAGGCAGGTATCTTTGGCTTCCGTAAGTGCACTTCCCACCACGCTGCTATGATCCGCGGAAATCCTTCGTTCTGATTGGTCCGACTTAAACGCTTCTCATTTAAAAACTATTGCGAATTTTTGCAAACGGTTTGCGGGAAGGTACTAAGGGCACCTCCAACCATCGCTCACTTTCCGGTCCAAAAATAATTCTGGGACATCCTGACGAAGCTTTACGATGCCGCACAAATATTAGGGGGATCGGAAAATGATGTTGTTTTTTTACATTAAATTCAAAATGCGCAGAAACGACATTACTTTTTGTCCCCCTGATAAATGGGACCACGACAAATAATAGATCAAATACTCAATTAACTGGAAGTCAGAGTTATACCACTGTCTCCTAAGGACACCCTGGCCAGCACTTAGGCGGTGGGCTCCTGCGTTCGGGAGACAATAATAAAAATCTGAAAACTAGGGAGGTTCACTCTAAAAATTACAGAAATTATTTTATAGAACGACGAACTATCGGAACTAAAATCCAGGGATAGCTCCAATTTATTTTAAATAGAAAAATGTAAGAACAATGCTATTAGATACAAGTGATAATTACGGAAAACAGATCGAGATGGTACAAAACGCACTGGGACATTACCCAATCGACATTGTACAATAATGTTCCCACTGGAACAATGCAACATACGATCAATAATGGTATGATAAGAAACGGTACGATAACAAACCGTACGATAGTGACTCACGAAAGAAAAATAAGGATGACGCGTAAGAATACGTCGAATAGAAAAGATCGGTTAATCCCGTCAATTCAGAGATAGCCAAAATACCCCTGAGCGTCATTCACCGTTGTCCAGTAGCACTTACAATCTACAGGAACACCTTCTCGTGGATTATAGGTCCCTCAAACGGATGTCAATACGATACGATACAATAAATCGAAAAATCAATACCAAATGATAGCACGTTTATCCCTGAGCTAAGCCACGTCGTGAGTAACGCTACAAATTTTCAAAAACGGGAACCTTCCCGAGACCGCGACGTAATACCACCCCCTGGTCCAATCAGGTTCGCTGTTGTATCCGCTCAGCTAGCGAACTCGCGATCTTCAATTGTTTTGACAATCCCGATGAAATAGATCCCGGCATCTCGTTACCTTAGGATGGCTACAGAGCTGTTTCCGGGAGGCGGGAATCATATCCACTTACACTCCCTCGATATTTGGCTCCACGCCGCTTCTGCAACCTTTGTATGCCCTCTGATCGTTGAGACGCTCGCCGCTTGCTTCGCGTAGTTGAGCCACTGTATTATGTGGTCTGGTCTTGACGTCACCTGTCTTTGTCAGCGTTCCGCCAGGCTCGTAACTGGCTCTCTCGGGCCTCGTCTCAATAGAAATTATATTCAATCCTCTCGGATCCACTTAATGAACTCAAAAACAAACGAAACATTCCCTACAGAGAAATAAGTAGAAAATTCTTAAAATAAAGTCAGTCCAACGCCGCGCGAAACGCTTCGTAACCCATCAGGCCCCACGACGTAGCCGAATCGGCCTATTTTTTGGCATTTTGATGCCACGTCACAATATATATGTGTCTAAGTAACGTGGCAGTATAAATTGAATTGTTAAAAACAAACAGCAATAATGACTCACAGATAATAACAATGATTTAATATGGAACTTAAAAATACGCTACACACACTTCCATACACTAAGAAACACGCGACACACATCTTTCCATAGAAACACGCTATACGTCACATCGATTGGAGGATCCACTACACAATTCAATAATATCCACTAGTTGCAGCAAAGCCGTAATTCTATGTCCGTAATTCGTTTATGGTCCGAGAAAATAATTCGTCCCTCGTCCAATTATGTGCTCGTCTATCGCTAATTGTATTTGCATTGATTTGCTTCGATCACGAACAGATCCTTCTAGAGTGGCCGCAGGATCTAAAAAGGTAATGTAAGGAAATTATAATACCCTGTCGCCTTTTCTAGTGGATTGACCACACGTCTAACTCACTCAGAGACCTGATGGCGAAAGGGGCGAGCGCTGATTAGCAGCGGCGATAGTTCGGTTTACAAATTCATAGAGGGGACACTACTAGGTCTTATGACGGGTGATTGAAACGCTTTATCGTTCTCATGTACCACGTTACATTCTCTCCCTCCCTCTCCCTCCAATCCTTCATCACATGAAATGCGGTCAGGTACACAAGACCCATTAGGCGGCGTGGAGAGGAAAATGGACGAGATCTGACCGAACCGGACGAAATGCATGGTCGTTTTCTCCGTGAACGCCGTATAGATAAATTTATAATTTCTAAATAAATGTGTATGTATTATATGTATCACCGTATCGGCCAATGCTCAACTCCTTAAGTATTACTGACGCTTTTACTCACAATAATAAAAGTGACTGGTAGTGTTGATGACGTTTTGAGGCGCATAAGAATAAAAATATATTCATGTGATTTGCATAAAAATCATTCTTCTACAATTTTTCAGGTCGCTGAATTCAGTTTCAAGTTCAAATTATAAAAATTCAGGGTAAAAGTTTCAGTATAGCTGTTTCCGAAATTAAAATGCTTAATCAACTATCACAGTTGTTAATCTATAAAGAATAATTTGTATTCATATTTGTGTATTATGTCATTTTAAATGACCTTGTTGGATTCGTTATTTTGATTAATATAATTTTTACATTTTATCTAAATTCAGCACTCCTAAAAATCTGCAAGAGCGATTAGTTATGTGAAAAAAATGACTCTTTAAATGAAAACATTTCTAGCTCAAAACTAAATTTTTCTTCACACTTCATGTTAAATATGACATATGAAAGAGAGTAAAGTAATAAACAATATTTCAGCTGGTTTATGGAACGTAATTACAATGGGAATTGGCAGCGGGTTAAAAAATTTTCAAGTGGCTAGTCATGGTTACATAGACCAAGATAAAAAAAAAAGGGATATGGAAACTCCGTTAGCCAGTCAATCATTATTACTCTTGCTGGTTCTCACTAATCATTGTACTGCAACAAGTAATCCCTACCGAGATGCACTTTTTACTTTCACTGATATGGAAGGTATGTAACCAGTTTTGTATCTATTAATTTGCTAACAATAAAAACTCAGGACAATCTCTCATTGACAATTTGACTGGCATGTGCACCATAGAGCGTCAAGTGTGTTCTGGTCCGAATTAGATTCCTCAAAAAACACTTACGTATAAAAAACTACGCCAAGTGCAGGATTGCTATGAATTCCTCTAACAAAAAGTATTGATATCATATTATTGAGGCCAAGTACATAAGTCACTACATGTTTTCCTATTATATGATCTAGCACTGGCCCATCATTTTAATTATATTTTCAATATTTCCTATAACGGTTTCGCTACTCTTTTATGTTACTACTGCTTCCCGTATTTAATTATGATTTAATGGTGATTTAATAATTAATAAAACTTTAGGCGATTCCTTATCGAGTACAACTTGGCGCGTTAACTATTTAATTTGGATTACTTTCTTGTAGTTTTTCGTATCACTTTCCTATAAGTCCTTGGCTGAGTTCTTTCCGTCCTTACCTCTTAAACGCCGCGACGCTTCCGACGAGCTAGCCTCTGAAGCGGCGTACCGTGGGACGTATTGTGGTCGACTTTGGTACGATCTGTCGAGTTCCGGGTAACCTTTAGGTTTAATTACGTTTTATATTCTTTTTCTTGGCTGTGGTGCCCCTATCTGTTTTGAGTGGGTTTTGAGTCACCCGCTGAGAACAGAAGTTCTTAATTGAACAGTCAAGCACTAACTGAAAACTGCAATGTTCTATAATAATGCCATTTGAGTTACACAGATATCTCTGTCACGTCTTACGTAGATTATCCGGATCTCGCTTTTCTTCCATTGATCGCCTTTAGGTTAGTTACGTTAGCATCTTTTCTTGGCCGTGGTGCCCCTATCTGATTTTGCGTGGCCGTGGTGCCCTTAGAGGTAGTTTGCCTGGTGGCATCTTTAGTTTTAGTTCGCCTGGTGATTTTATCTAAATTCAGCACTCCTAAAAATCTGCAAGAGCGATTAGTTATGTGAAAAAAATGACTCTTTAAATGAAAACATTTCTAGCTCAAAACTAAATTTTTCTTCACACTTCATGTTAAATATGACATATGAAAGAGAGTAAAGTAATAAACAATATTTCAGCTGGTTTATGGAACGTAATTACAATGGGAATTGGCAGCGGGTTAAAAAATTTTCAAGTGGCTAGTCATGGTTACATAGACCAAGATAAAAAAAAAAGGGATATGGAAACTCCGTTAGCCAGTCAATCATTATTACTCTTGCTGGTTCTCACTAATCATTGTACTGCAACAAGTAATCCCTACCGAGATGCACTTTTTACTTTCACTGATATGGAAGGTATGTAACCAGTTTTGTATCTATTAATTTGCTAACAATAAAAACTCAGGACAATCTCTCATTGACAATTTGACTGGCATGTGCACCATAGAGCGTCAAGTGTGTTCTGGTCCGAATTAGATTCCTCAAAAAACACTTACGTATAAAAAACTACGCCAAGTGCAGGATTGCTATGAATTCCTCTAACAAAAAGTATTGATATCATATTATTGAGGCCAAGTACATAAGTCACTACATGTTTTCCTATTATATGATCTAGCACTGGCCCATCATTTTAATTATATTTTCAATATTTCCTATAACGGTTTCGCTACTCTTTTATGTTACTACTGCTTCCCGTATTTAATTATGATTTAATGGTGATTTAATAATTAATAAAACTTTAGGCGATTCCTTATCGAGTACAACTTGGCGCGTTAACTATTTAATTTGGATTACTTTCTTGTAGTTTTTCGTATCACTTTCCTATAAGTCCTTGGCTGAGTTCTTTCCGTCCTTACCTCTTAAACGCCGCGACGCTTCCGACGAGCTAGCCTCTGAAGCGGCGTACCGTGGGACGTATTGTGGTCGACTTTGGTACGATCTGTCGAGTTCCGGGTAACCTTTAGGTTTAATTACGTTTTATATTCTTTTTCTTGGCTGTGGTGCCCCTATCTGTTTTGAGTGGGTTTTGAGTCACCCGCTGAGAACAGAAGTTCTTAATTGAACAGTCAAGCACTAACTGAAAACTGCAATGTTCTATAATAATGCCATTTGAGTTACACAGATATCTCTGTCACGTCTTACGTAGATTATCCGGATCTCGCTTTTCTTCCATTGATCGCCTTTAGGTTAGTTACGTTAGCATCTTTTCTTGGCCGTGGTGCCCCTATCTGATTTTGCGTGGCCGTGGTGCCCTTAGAGGTAGTTTGCCTGGTGGCATCTTTAGTTTTAGTTCGCCTGGTGACATCTTTAGGTATAGTTTGCCTGGTGGCAATCGGTTACCCCGGACCAATTGTCTCTCGCGATCGTTATTGTTTCGACAACGAGCCTAGAGCTCGTGGTGCTCCTTTGAGGATACCTGGCGCCCAACCACCTTTTCGAGTTTGACGAGACCACTTGCGCCCCCGATTTCCGTTGGTGTACAGTTCCGTTTTGTCGGCGACATATTTATTTATATTTTTTTATATGAATCCTGAGGGTACCTGGCGCCCAACCACCTTTTCGAGTTTGCCGAGACCACTTGCGCTCCCGATTTCCGTTGGTGTAGAGTTCCGTTTTGTTGACGACCGAGAATATCGTCGCAAGGTATGTATGTGTTCTTTGTTATGCACTCCAATGTCTGTTGTTGCACTCGCGATAGATTGATACGAACGCTCACCGCGGTGATTTCCCTGGCCCTCGGATGGAAAGGCTAGGTCACATGATCCGAAGGCACATAAGATACTACTGGCGGAGGAACAAGCAAGACTCGATGATTTCAACGGTAGCTCCTAGAGGAGTTTCGTCGGCTGCCAAGATTCATGAAAGACTGATGACCGGTTCTGAATCCTGTAGCTGTAATAGTTTCGATTTTGAGGACAATGAACCGCAATATTGATGAACTTGCAAAGGAAGAGTCTTGCTTTATACTTTGCTGGTATGTGGTGTGAGCGCGTGGTGTGCTATATTCAACGTTCTAGGATTTACATGAAACAATTGAAACGTTCGATGTGCCGAAAAGAATTTACAGGTTGCATTTACTTTAGTAGATCCGCTTTGGGATATAAAAATAAATTGATATTCTCGCATTGCTCATTTAATATAGAATGACATTAGGTCTAATTTCGGAGTAACTATTTTCTTCACTTCGTAAATAATATGTGAAAAGAGGGTAATAGTACTTGTGAAATCACAGTGGGATTCAGTGGGAATCAGTGACTTTAACCAGAAGTCAGTCCATAAATATAGTAAAAACTGATTGAAGCAGATGCAATAATAAATTGATTAGTAGCCTCGGCCAAGCTAATTACAAATTGTTTAGTACATCTTTTTCAAAATGATTTATAAAATATATATATATATATATATTGCGACGTTATTCCCCAAAACAAAATCTCAATGCTAGATTAGATTGACGATAAAAGGTATTCGGAAAGTAGGGAACCGTACACAAAACGCCGTATGATCCTCTCTCAATAAGTTTCGATATTTACAAGACCCGATACGCGATAAACTAAATAGTGTTGGGCGCCAGGTGATCTCCGGGGAGAACACTGCGAGTGCAGGGCACTCGAGATCTTAGAAATTCTTAGGCAAACGCGGGGAAGCTCGGAACAACGAAAGGGAAAAGGAAACAGGTAAGGCGACACCGCCAAGGGAAGAGAGTTGGAATGATAGGAACGGCGACTCCGCCAAGAGAGGAAAGAGAGATAGTAATATATAGCGACTTCGCCAAGAAGGAGACGGAAAGATCGGTAAACGGCGACTTCGTCAAGACAGGAGAAGAAAGATACGTAAACGGCGACTCCGCTAAGATAGAAAGAGAAGGATAGGTGAACGGCGACTCCGCCAAAAAGAAAAGAGAAAGATCGAGAAACGGCGACACCGCCAGGATAGAAAGAGAAAGAGCCAGTAAAGAGAAAAAGCGATAAATGGCGACTCCGCCAAGGTAGAAAAAAGAAAGATCGATAAACGGCGACTCCGCCAAGATAGAAGAGAGAAAGATCAATAAACGGCGACACCGCCAAAATATAAAGAGAAAGATAATAAACGGCGACTCCGCCAAGATAGAAGAGAGAAAGATCAATAAACGGCGACACCGCCAAAATATAAAGAGAAAGATAATAAACGGCGACTCCGCCAAGATAGAAGAGAGAAAGATCAATAAACGGCGACACCGCCAAAATATAAAGAGAAAGATAATAAACGGCGACTCCGCCAAGATAGAAGAGAGAAAGATCAATAAACGGCGACACCGCCAAAATATAAAGAGAAAAGATAATAAACGGCGACACTGCCAAGATAAGAGAGGGAAGCGCGAAGAAAAGTAGAAACAGAAGCGAGAGAGAGAGAATCAAGCGGTCGAAGAGAATTCCAAAAGTATACCCGGTTCAAGAGGCTAGACGGGAGCAGGAATAGACATGCGATAAAGAGAATAGGTAAAAGAAAGATAGTAGAGAAAATAAGTAGGTTTAACGCACCGAAGCTATATTAGAAAAAAAAAAGCAAGAACGACGTGCAAGCCATACAGCAAATTACAAAGTGTTGAAAGCAGAAAAGATAAAGTAAATTGTTAGTGAGATTCAATAAGGTGCGAAAGCGAAACCAAGTAACAAAATCCTTAAAATAATAATACAAAGCGATAGGTTCTTGAGGGATTCCATATAAACTAAAATTTTTAAAACGAAACGCGGAATTCGCGAGGGACTACGGCCCTGTGGCGATACGACACGGCAGCGGGACGGATCTGCGCCGGCGCAAAAGATACTCTCGACAATATTTCAATAAATCGGAAACTACGAAATACACGCGAGGACAAAGGCTTAAATTCGCATCGGTACGAAAACACGGTAACAAATTCACTCGCGAAATTTCCCGAAAATTGAAAAGAGTCAGAACACGCACGATCTAAATATGGCGATTAGCACACAGGTATAAAATACACTTAAATAAATTAACATAGATGGTACAAGTAATATACAATAGTTCAAAGAAATGGCAAGCTCTCGGAAAACTATCACCGGAATAGTGTAATCGGCAAAAATAAATTAATAAGCATGCCACTGATAGTCAGTGCGTCCTGTATTCTCGACTCGGGCGATTACTCAAAAAAAAAAGGTCACTCTACTCTCGACCAACAGCGTAAGTTATCGAAAATATTATACTAAGCTAATAATTATGAATTTCTAGAAATTGAAATATTAATTAAATAAAGAGGAGGATGCCATTCCTAATAACGAAAGCGAGAAATAGGTGAACAATTTAAGGCAAAAAAAAGAATTATTTTAAGTCAAAATTCAAGATAATAATGCGACATATAACGCCGGAAAAAAATAGAAAAGCCCAAAAGATATTCGCTAGAAACAATTAGACAGAATCCACGGGAAACGGCCAAGCCGGAGACGCCGGGGCCCTAGGTGTTTCCACGTGGTCGAGAAGATAATCGGTAACTTATAAAATATTCGACAATTCCAAAGCACTAAATTACCACAAAACGCAATTAATTACAATATATTCAAGATTAAGTACTTTACGATAATAAAAGAAAAACGAAATAAGATAACGGTATCCGGCACTATCGTCCTTTTACTTAGAGGGACTGGAACGACATTCAGTTCGGTAAGCGAGAAAATTTGCGAGAAAAAAGCGCCTAGACGGGATTGCTTCAATTAAATTCACAAAATCTCCAAAATAAAGGTAACGAAAGGTGCTCACCAATTCGATAAGATACGGAATCGCAAAATAAGTCCTCAGACTTCCTTCCCTCAATTTGGCTACTTTCAAAGACAGCGAGGTCGGGCAAAGTAAGCTCAGGGACTTCCTTCCTTCAATTTCAATACGTCCAATTACGGCAAAATCGGCTGGTCTTTGTTCACGATTAGTACTTTTCAGAAATTAACCACAGGCTAAGACGCTCCAAACGTAAGTGAAGGACCCGGAATTCGTCGCTAGAGGAAGAGCCGTAGGGGCCCCCCTCCATAAATTATTAATTCCTAATTCGCACGGTAGAGCGATAACACATTATAATAATATAGAATAGGTAAATCTAACGCTTGACGGTAGCCAGAGTCGAAGCATTAGGCGGCTAGAGTCCGAAGATAGGCGGAGAGGGCCGAGCTGAGCGCGAGAATCCTTGGTGCGGCCGATCGTGAGTCCTCGGTGTGAGCAGCAGGTTCCAGCGAAGAGTAGGCCCTGGTTCCTTCTCTGGGGGCCACTGATAACAGGAGCGTTAGGGAACGTTCGGCGACTGGGCGGCACGATAGAGGATTATCCTTTCCTCCTATCGGCGGCACGAGTGGCGAAGGTCCCTTTTTTGCGAT